TTGTGTCTGCAACTGTGGATGTAAATGTAGCTTCAGTTGTAGATATACTGGCTTCACTTGTGCTGCTTACAGTTGTTGGAACAGCTGTGGTGCTTTCTGTAGCTGTTGTGCTGGCTTCAGTACTGCTTGTTGTTGCGCTGGTTTCACTTGTGGTGCTAGGTTCTGTACTTGTTGAAGTGACTTCAGCGGTAGTGCTGCTGACAGTGGAGGGCTCCGTGCTGCCAATTGTTGAGGTTGTTGTGTCTGCAACTGTAGATGTAAATGTAAGTTCAGTTGTAGAGGTGCTGGCTTCACTTGTGCTGCTTACAGTTGTTGGAACAGCTGTGGTGCTTTCTGTAGCTGTTGTGCTGGCTTCAGTACTGCTTGTTGTTGCGCTGGTTTCACTTGTGGTGCTAGGTTCTGTACTTGTTGAAGTGACTTCAGCGGTAGTGCTGCTGACAGTGGAGGTCTCCGTGCTGCCAATTGTTGAGGTTGTTGTGTCTGCAACTGTAGATGTAAATGTAAGTTCAGTTGTAGAGGTGCTGGCTTCACTTGTGCTGCTTACAGTTGTTGGAACAGCTGTGGTGCTTTCTGTAGCATTTGTGCTGGCTTTAGTACTGCTTGTTGTTGCGCTGGTTTCACTTGTGGTGCTGGTACTTGTTGAAGTGACTTCAGCGGTATTGCTACTGACAGTATCTGTGCTGTCAATTGTTGAGATTGTTGTGTTGCAACTGTGGATGAAAATGACTTCAGTTGTAAAGGTGCTGGTAGTGTCGTTGGAACAGCTGTGGTGCTTTCTGTAGCTGTTGTGTTGGCTTCAGTACTGCTTGTTGTTGCGCTGGTTTCACTTGTGGTGCTAGGTTCTGTACTTGTTGTGACTTCAGCGGTAGTGCTGCTGACAGTGGAGGACTCCGTGCTGCCAATTGTTGAGGTTGTTGTGTCTGCAACTGTGGATGTAAATGTAGCTTCAGTTGTAGAGGTGCTGGCTTCACTTGTGCTGCTTACAGTTGTTGGAACAGCTGTGGTGCTTTCTGTACCTGTTGTTGCGCTGGTTTCACTTGTGGTGCTAGGTTCTGTACTTGTTGAAGTGACTTCAGCGGTATTGCTGCTGACAATGGAGGAATCTGTGCTGCCAATTTTTGAGATTGTTGTGTCTGCAACTGTGGATGAAGATAGAGCTTCAATTGTAAAGGTGCTGGCTTCACTTGTGCTGCTGTCAGTCGTTGGAACAGCTGTGGTGCTTTCTGTAGCTGTTGTGTTGGCTTCAGTACTGCTTGTTTTTTCGCTGGTCTCACTTGTGGTGCTAGGTTCTGTACTTGTTGAAGTGACTTCAGCGGTAGTGCTGCTGACAGTGGAGGACTTCGTTCTGCCAATTCTTGCGGTTGTTGTGTCTGCAACTGTGGATGTAAATGTAGCTTCAGTTGTAGATATACTGGCTTCACTTGTGCTGCTTACAGTTGTTGGAACAGCTGTGGTGCTTTCTGTAGCTGTTGTGCTGGCTTCAATACTGCTTGTTGTTGCGCTGGTTTCACTTGTGGTGCTAGGTTCTGTACTTGTTGAAGTGACTTCAGCGGTAGTGCTGCTGACAGTAGTGCTGCCTGTGCAACATGTAAATGTAGCTTCAGGAGGTGCTGGCTTCACTTGTGCTGCTTACCAAGCTGTTGTGCTGGACTGCTTGTTGTTGCGCTGGGTTGTGACTTCAGCGGTAGTGTCTGACAGTGGAACTCTGTAGATGTAAATGTAACTTGTTCTGTTCAGTTGTGGAACAGTTGTGGTGCTTTCTGTAGCTGTTGTGCTGGCTTCAGTACTGCTCTTTTGTTGCTGGTTTCACTTGTGGTGCTAAGTTCTGTATTTGTTGAAGTGGCTTGGTAGTGCTGCTGACAGCTGTGCTGCCAATTGTTGAGGTTGTTGTGCTGCAACTGTGGATGTAAATGTAGCTTCTGTATGCTGCTTCACTTGTGCTGCTTACAGTTGTTGGAACAGCTGTGGTGCTTACTGTAGCTGTTGTGCTGGCTTCAGTACTGCTTGTTGTTGCGCTGGTTTCACTTGTGGTGCTAGGTTCTGTACTTGTTGAAGTGCCTTCAGCGGTAGTGCTGCTGACAGTGGAGGTCTCCGTGCTGCCAATTGTTGAGGTTGTTGTGTCTGCTGTAGATGTAAATGTAAGTTCAGTTGTAGAGGTGCTGGCTTCACTTGTGTTGCTTACAGTTGTTGGAACAGCTGTGGGCTTTCTGTAGCTGTTGTGCTGGCTTCAGTACTGCTTGTTGTTGCTGGTTTCACTTGTGGTTCTAGGTTCTGCACTTGTTGAAGTGACTTCAGCGGTAGTGCTGCTGACAGTGGAGGTCTCCGTGCTGCCAATTGTTGAGGTTGTTGTGTCTGCAACTGTAGATGTAAATGTAAGTTCAGTTGTAGAGGTGCTGGCTTCACTTGTGCTGCTTACAGTTGTTGGAACAGCTGTGGTGCTTTCTGTAGCATTTGTGCTGGCTTCAGTACTGCTTGTTGTTGCGCTGGTTTCACTTGTGGTGCTAGGTTCTGTACTTGTTGAAGTGACTTCAGCGGTATTGCTACTGACAGTGGAGGAATCTGTGCTGTCAATTGTTGAGATTGTTGTGTCTGCAACTGTGGATGAAAATAGAGCTTCAGTTGTAAAGGTGCTGGCTTCACTTGTGCTGCTGTCAGTCGTTGGAACAGCTGTGGTGCTTTCTGTAGCTGTTGTGTTGGCTTCAGTACTGCTTGTTGTTGCGCTGGTTTCACTTGTGGTGCTAGGTTCTGTACTTGTTGAATTGACTTCAGCGGTAGTGCTGCTGACAGTGGAGGACTCCGTGCTGCCAATTGTTGAGGTTGTTGTGTCTGCAACTGTGGATGTAAATGTAGCTTCAGTTGTAGAGGTGCTGGCTTCACTTGTGCTGCTTACAGTTGTTGGAACAGCTGTGGTGCTTTCTGTAGCATTTGTGTTGGCTTTAGTACTGCTTGTTATTGCGCTGGTTTCACTTGTGGTGCTAGGTTCTGTACTTGTTGAAGTAACTTCAGCGGTAGTGCTGCTGACAGTGAAGGTCTCAGTGCTGCCAATTTTTGAGGTTGTTGTGTCTGCAACTGTGGATGTAAATGTAGCTTCAGTTGTAGAGGTGCTGGCTTCACTTGTGCTGCTTACAGTTGTTGGAACAGCTGTGGTGCTTTCTGTAGCTGTTGTGCTGGCTTCAGTACTGCTTGTTGTTGCGCTGGTTTCACTTGTGGTGCTAGGTTCTGTACTTGTTGAAGTGACTTCAGCGGTAGTGCTGCTGACAGAGGTTGGTCCTGCAGAAGCTGTGTCTGCAAATGTTGATGTAAATGTCGCTTATTTGTATTCTTTCAGGCGTTCCTTTTTGATGTTTGGTTTTGTTTGATAGTTTACGAATTCGAACTTTTAATTAAATATGTTCATTTGTTTATTTTAGAGAGTTTTGATGTCCGCTTTGTCTTATTAAAGTTAACGCATGTCCGTCTTTATGAATATATATGACATTTAATTTGAGTCAAACAACAAGCTCCTTTAATGCCCGTTTTGAATATCTCCACGATATATTCAAAAGTATTTCTAATTAGAAACGTGTCGCATGTGTAACAATAAGAACCTTTCTTCTACGATATTGTATGTTTTGTTTTATGTATTTAGACATATGTGCATATAATATTGGATAACTAGGGAAGTTTCCATGGGTATATGATACTGAACGTAATGATTTTGTATCTTAAGGAAACGTGTAAATATATCCTATTCAGAAAAAAAGTGGATATGTAGAATACTAGTACATTCCACATAGTACATGTATATTCTTTCCATACTTATACTTCATTCAAATTTAGCTTTCATCATTATGTATAATACTGTGCGCATTAATTTCTGAATGTCACGCAACTTGTAATTACTAGATACATATATGTAAAAGAAAGATATATCCAGGAAATCCCTATAAGTACTTTAAGATACTTTCTTTTACAGCAAAATCATAAAAACTTAAGGAATGAAAGACACATGGTCACATGACACATAAGTACTACCGAGTCTGTGATGCTATACTAGTAATATGTGCAAGATATGATTTAACCCATCAGTACAGTAAAAGAAATTGACAGTTTGTTTTACTTCACAGTCTTCAAATAAAATACTGAACAATTTTAATATCTATAAATACAATCTGCTCTAGACTCGTGAGGTAAGGAGTTGATCCTTACGTCGCGGGTCCACTTTGGGACCTGGATACCGGTCCTTTAGAATGAGACTCATGTACACAGAGGTCCCGTGTCGCAGTAAATGTTGACACGAAAAAGACCCCTCGCTGCCCAATGGCCGTAAGTACCGAGTATATGACAAAACTTTCAGCTATCCAATGACAAGTGGTGGATTCTCCATACGAGTGAAAAATTCTCGAGAGGGACGTAAAACAACATACAATCAATCTATCTATCTATCCCCTCCTCCGTTTCCCTACACTATTTATCCCTACAGAATTTGATGATGTCGAATGTAGGAAAAATATACTCAGTAAAACTTGGTAAATCACGAGCAGTATAATTACCTAAAAAAGTCAAAATGAGCTCATGCTGAGGTATTTTGTGAAATAGAGAACATAAAAAATTATTTTTTACATGGTTGCTGACAAATCTTATTTAGGTATAGTCTTATCTTATTTCACTGATGTGGCCTACGTAATAGTTTGTTTAATCGGACTCGAGATTGTAAGCATGACACATTTTTATCATGCTTATGTTTTGTTTAGCGATGTGTCAAGCAATATCGACCTAGCTTAATGAATAAAATGAAGAAATGGGGGGGGGGGGGGGGTTGTAATTTTCAAATGTTAGATGATCGATATTTTTTTTGCAAATCAAGCTTTTTGTTTTTATTATTTTTAAAAAATACCCTTCATGATCTTATATGGCGAAAGGTTCTTGCGTTTTTAAAAAATTTTAA